CTCACAGTTGTCATGGTACAAAACTATAAAAGCTATCATGTTCCCTTTCAGTCTGATATAAAATGAAAGTAATTAAAATAAGTGAAAAGTGTTTTCAGAGCATGAACTTGAACAGTCTCCTACGATTTTGGCATATGTGTTAATCTAAGGTTTTTGTCATCAATTTTTAAGACTTAATTTTTGGCAGTTCAAAAGCTTGTTTTATTAAATTCCTGGGTCTTATCCAGGGACTACACAGGTGTGGCTTGTTTTTTAATTAAACTTGTAAATTTCTTGTACAAATAGGTATGGTTTCTAGATGGGCAAGTTCTGAATAATTGAGATAATATATTATTTGTATTTATAAACATCCAGCTTAATAATTGCCTGTATACTTACTAGTAATATCATTAGTGCAATTAAAATAATCGTTAAAAATGAACTACATACACTACTGGAAGCGTGTGGTTCTGAAAGGCCTTCTGGAAGGTGATTTGGCAATTTGCATCGAAAGCCATTAAAGTGTGAATATCTTCTGACATACAAAATACTTCTTAAAATTAGTCTTAAAGAATAAGCATGGATATGTACACAGATTGTCCCATAAAAATGTCAGTCCTGTTTATAAAGGATAAATGGAAAATAATCTAAATGTTCATTAGGGGACTGACAAAATAAATTACAACATATTTATATAATGTAAAACTCCATGGCCATTACAAATTATGTTGGGATTCTTGAAAGATGGCAGCAGTGGTGGCAGTTTTTGAAATGTCCCAAGTATCCCCATAAATACGGAGAAGGCAAGACAGCAAAACTGAAAATCTATGACCAATATCTACAAAAAACTAGGTGACATGACAGCCCTGTGAAACCCCAATATAAGTCATGTGACCCACAAGTCTCAGGATCTGTGCAGGACAAAGCAGAAGGAAGCAACGGGGCATGTGACTGACACAGAAACCCCAGAGCAGCCAACTAGTACTTATGGAATCCAGGACAGCTGACTTGCGACAGGCAGCTGAAGCAGGGAGGGGTCTGCCCATCTCCACAGTGAGCCAAAAACACTGGGACTGCAGGAAGGGCTGCAGGAGCCTGAGCCCTGTGAGTTCTCAAAAGTAAACAGGCAAAGTTCCCTGCTGGGACAAAGCCCCACATTTAGAAGAAACAATGGGGGCCAGGTGCAGTGGCTCACATCTGTAATCCCAGAAATTTGGGAGGCCGGGGCAGGAGGACTGCCTGAAGCCAAGAGTTTGAGACCAGCCTGGACAACATAGCAAGACCCTGACTCTACAAAAAAAAAGAAAAAATAAAAAATTAGCTTGGCATAGTGGCGCACACCTGTCCCAACTACTTGGGAGGCTGAGGAGGAAAGACTGCCTGACCCCAGGAGGTCAAGGTTGCAGTGGGCCGAGGCTGTGCCACTGCACTCCAGTCTGGGCAACAGAGTGAGGGCCCTGACTCAAAAAATAAGAAAAAACATTGGGGAAGAGAATCTAAACTGAGCAGCACAGCAAGAGACAAGGCTATAGGAGGTCAGATAAAATGGGAAAGAGGAGCAGAGCGAGGAGAAAGAAAATACCGCCAGCAGAGGGGGCTCTAGACCTGTGGGGGACCACATACTCCACTGGAAGCCACTCCTCACTTCAAAGTTCAGAAAACCAAATTTCACATAAAAATGAGCAACAGAAAAGGACTGAGGTCAAATCTCACACAAAGTTGTAAGAAAAAAAGAGACTACAGAACAGATAAACGATCACCAGAAAGATATAACTACAAAAGAGATAGACTATATGCTACTTTTTCAAAACAAGTCAGAAGACGTGAAAGAATAACATAAATCAGAAATAGAAAAGCTCAGAAATGACATGACAATTATAAGAGAAGAAATTATAATACAGGAAAATCTCACTTCAGAAATGAAGTCTTAACTAGAAGGAATACAAAAGTAAATGAATATACAGATACACCTTAAGAGATATAAAAGGAAAAAAAGGAAAATTGTAAAAATCAAAAGGAAATAAAGAGATATCAAGAACTTGAGCTGGGTGCGGTGGCTCAGGCCTGTAATCCCAGCACTCTGGGAGGCCAAGGCAGGACTGTTCCTGGCAACAAAGTGAGACCTTGTCTCTTCAAAAAATTTGAAAATTAACTGGATGTGGTGGTGCACACCTGTAGTTCCTGCTACTGAGGTAGAAGGATCAACTGAACCCAGCAGGTAAAGGCTGCATGAGAACTTGAGTAAAGAGAATTGAAAAAGAATCTGAGAGAAAATAACAAACATAAAAGACAAAGGTCCAACATGCATATAACAGGAGCTTCCAAAAAGAAAACCAAAGCAAGAGAACAAATATTACAAACTATAAAGAAAACTCTCCTAAGTGTTTTAAAAATTATTTTTTAAACAGCATTATTAAAACAGTGTGTGGACAATCCACTCGGTATCCTCCCGCTCTGGGAGCTTTTCTGTCCTCTCAATAAAACCTACTTTCTCAAAAAAAAAAAAAAAAAAAAAAAA